CCCCTTTTTAGAGCTTATGAATCATCTTTATGTTATCCTTAAGCCTTTAAATGAGTTAGTAACCCATTTCATTGTTTGTGATTAGTGAAAGAAGTGGAAGAGAGTTCCAAAAGAAAATACAAAGAGAAGTTTGCTCTTGGGTGATCTTAGAGTGTTTCCACAACTTAGGTGAATGATAACACACCCCTAACACTTCTATAATGCTTGTAGATCAATATGTGTAGTGTTGTTACTTATATGAGTTTATGAACCATGTGGGTGCATTTGGCCTTATAGCATGAAATTGGATGTTTGATGTTGTTCATGTATAATGAAATGACCTTTTATGACTCTTTAACTCTACATAAGCTTTAAACATTGTTTGAAAGTCTTGGGAGTGTCTTAGAAGTGATTTGGGGAGTTTCACATGAAATAAACAAGGCTTTCTAGGCTTATGGTATAGGTATTGTATGAACAATACCGATAATTTTCATCAATAAGGTTAAAATCAGGGTGCTTTTATAAGGTGGTATTGATACTCGTTCTTGGAGTATCAATATCGTTAATAGGGTATCAATACTCGGGGCTTAGTATCGATACTAGAGGACCAATTCAAATTCTAGTGAGCTAATTTGGTATCGGTACTCGGTTCAATATCGATACCATAGAGGGTAGTATCAATACTTTAGGTAAGAGTATCGATACCCATATATTTTTATAAAAATGGAATGTGATTTTGGTACCGATACTCGAGGAAGTATCGATACCATTGGAGAGAAATATCAATATCATAGATAGGAGTATCGATACTAAGTAATGTCTTAGATTTAATATCCTTTATAGGATAACAAACAATGAATATCAATTCCCTATTTTGACACAACTATCGACTATCACCTATATGTTACGGAATCTCGAACTTCCTAGTGAAGTTAAAGAAGTGAAGGTTACAAGCTCTTCTTTTGTCCTTTTCCATGTCAATCATCTTGTGAGCGAGAGCCCTGAAAACCATGAGTCTACCAACTACATGGGGAACTATAACCAAGGTAACAAAAACCCCTACTAGACCACTTACACAATCAACAAGGGTATATTTGTGTGTTCCGTCAGATGAATAGTTAAGGACTAAGATTCTTCGTAGGGGACATTGTAGTCCGTTCTCTATCCATCATAAAGGGAATAAGATGTACCAATACTTTTGTTAGCTATATTGGTGGCCGTGTATGAAAAATGAGATATTTGAGCGTGTCTAAGTGCTTGGCTTGTTAACAAGTTAAAGCCAAACATCAGGTTTCATCAAGGTTGTTTCAACCTATCCAGATTCCGCAGTGGAAATAAGACAGAGTGACCATGGATTTTTTTATTAGGTTACCGATGACTAGACAAAAAAACGATGTAGTTTGGGTAGTGGTGAACTGATTAACCAAGTCTGCTCATTTCCTACCAATACAAATGATTTCACCTTAAAGAGGTTAGCTAGATTGTAAATTCAGAAGATAATACATTTGCATGGAGTACCGTTGTCGATTATTTCTGAATGAGATCTACGTTTCACTTTGAGATTTTGGAAAACACTTCACGAAGCCTTATGTACCAGACTACACTTTAGTACTACCTTTCACTCGTAGACTGATGGTCAGTCCGAGTGTATGTTTTAGATTTTGGGCATAATAGACCTTGAGGGTAGTTAGGAGGACCATTTCCCATTAGTAAAGTTCACTTACAACAACATTTACCACTAGAGTATTCAGATGGCCCCCTATGAAGCTTTGCATGGAAGAAAGTGTAGAATGCTCTTGTGCTGGACAGAGTTTAGTGAAAGGAAAATGATAAATCTCGATTTGATTAAAGAGACCAAAGAGAAAGTTAGGCTACTTCAGGGTCGATTGAGGGAAACTTTTGATCGAAAAAGGTTGTGTACAAACTTGAAACGTAAGGATATAAAGTTTGCAGTATGCGATAAAGTTTTTCTCAAAGTGTCACTTTGGAAAAGAGTGTTGAGGTTTGGGTGCAAAGAGAAGCTGACTCCATGCTTCATTGAATCTTGTGAGATTTTGGACAGAGTTAGACCCATAGCCTATCGACTAGCTTTGCCACTAGAGATGGAGAGCATACATAATGTTTTCCATGTATCAATGCTTCAAAGGTATCGTTTCGACCTATCACACATCATTTCGCTAGAGAATATTGAGGTGAGCTAAGACATTACCTATGAAGAGTAGCTAATAAAGATCTTGGATCGAGAAGTCAAAGAATTGAAGAACAAGAGGATTCTGTTAGTGAAAATCTTATGGAAAAACCATGGGGCTAAAGGGGCGACTTGGGAGACCTAGGAAGATATACAACTCCAATATCCATATATGTTTTATTTAGGTAAATTTCAAGGACAAAATTTCTTTCTAATATGAGAGAGTTGTAAGCTGATTTTTGTGTTAGTAGTTTAGGGCTAACTTTATAAGGTTTTTGTATAAGCCCTCTGGCTTTGTAGGAATCCTTAGTCCAAACATGGTTGAGATTGGGCCCACAAGATAATAAAAATGGTATTTTTGAATTGAAATCAAAAGATTAAGGACTAGGAAAATAATTAACCCATTTATTTCTACAAGGCTCATTTTCATTCAATATTTGTGATGTCAATGGGGAAGAAATAAGGAAAAGTGAGCCTTGGTTTTCATCCCACATTTGTCTTCTTCTTCTTCATTTCATTTCTTCATTTTTCTCTCTTGTGGCTTGAGAAAAAGGTGATAGCTTTATGAACCCTTCATTCCTATTTCAAAAATCTAAGGTAAGTGGTAAAATTCTCACCTCTTAAGCTTTCATTCGAGTTTTATTCTTCAAGTTTTATCATAAAAGTCATTGTTAGGGGTTTAAGATGGGTTTAGGGCTTATGAGTTTAAGAGTGTTCCTAATCCATTTTTAGAGCTTAGGAATCACATTGTTGTTCTCCTTAAGCCTTTAGATGAGTTAGTAACTCATTTCATTGTTTGTGATTAGTGAAAGAAGTAGGAGAGAGTTCCAAAAGAAAAGACAAAGAGAATCTTGTTCTTGAGTGATCTTGGAGTATTTCCACAACTTAGGTGAAAGGTAACACGCTCCTAAAACTTCCATAATGTTTCTAGATCAACATGTGTAGTGTTGTTGCTTGTATGAGTTTATGAAACATATGGGTGCATTTGGGCTTATAGAATGAAATGAGATGCTTGATGTTGTTCATGCATAAAGAAATGACATTTTATGACCATTTAACTCTACACGAGCTTTAAACATTGTGTGAGGGTCTTAGGAGTGATTTGGGGAGTTTTACACGAGAGAAACAAGGCTTTCTAGGCTCAGGGTATTGATATTGTATGAATGATATCGATATTGTTCGTTAATATGGTTAAAATCACGGTTCTTTTGTAAGGTGGTATCGACACTCGTTCTTGGAGTATCGATATCGTTCATAGGGTATTGATACTCGGGGTTTAGTATTGATACTAGAAGACCAATTCAAATTCCAATGAGCTAATTTGATACTAATACTCGGGTGAGTACCGGTACCATAGAGGGTAGTATCGATACTCTAGGTAGGAATATTGATACCTGTATATTTTTATAAACATCGAATGCAATTTTGGTACCAATACTTGGAGAAGTACCGATACCACCAAAGAGTAGTATCGATACCCTAGGTAGGAGTATCGATACTAAGTAACGTCTTAGATTTTAGTATGCTGATTTGGTATCGGTACTTGGGGTAGTATCGAATCCCTAAGAGAAAGTAGTATCGATACCATTTGGCTGAGTATCAATACCGACATAAAAGTGAAGGCCATAAACCTTGCTCTAATCAAAGGACTCGGGTAAGGGTTAGGGTTGAATGGGAAACTTCTTAATAAAAGCTTGCAAGTGAGAACACTAATAATTGTGTGATAACATAAGATATTTATGAGGTAAGATTCCATAAGACTTATGCCTTGTTTGATACTCGACAAGGACACTCGAGTCGCTTGTGTACGACAATCATCTAGTATAGTAAATGATTATCGAAATATATCCAACTTAGTGCATGAGCACTTAAAAAGCTAGTTGGACGTCATGATGATACTATGTGACCTCAACGTGTTCTGAGTACCTTAGAGGGGTATCCTAGCTTGACAAGGGTCGATGCATTGTGACCCAGACCTAGCCTGAGATACTAGTGAGATGTTGATGTTATGTGACCCAGATATTACCTAAGGTACCTTCAGTAAACAAATAGTGGTGTGAGTTTTGTGATGCTATCGTGACCCCGAACTACATCATGATGCTTGCTTTCGTTGTGTGTTGAATGTACTCTTATGTTCGTAACTATACTTATGGCATGTTTGTTTGTTGAATGCATGTAGTATAGTTGTGTTATTTGTGTGGCACTAAGCTCGTAAGCTCAGCGTTCGAAATGTGTTTCTGTGTGCATGTTCTTAGGTGTTGATCAAGGAGCTCATCGTCAACTTGCATATTTCAGACTAGAACTATTCCAAAATACGTCTCGAGTAATTATAGTGGGCATGTATTATCATAGACCCTTATATCATGTTGAGTCGTAAACTCTATTTGAATTTATATATTTTGAATATACTTATGGGAGCTCCCCACATTTTTTAAACATATTATACTTTTAGATTTTATTATGTTTTTAATTATGGTTTAAACTATGAATATGACGAACGTTTTTTAAAAAATGGTTAGTCACTTAGGTGGTGTCATATAATATTCAAATCTTTCAGATTTCGAGTCAGACCGAATTAGGGTGTTATAATTATCATTTAATGTTTTTGAATTTTAATCAATAATATCTAATATTTTAGAGATTAAAATATTATAAATCAATAATATAAGTGAAAAGAAACATTATTTTTTAATGTAGTGAGCAAAAGTGAATGATTATGAAACAAAATTGACCATTTAGATAGTTTACCTTTTTTTAAGGGGGAGAAGAAGAAAGGGGAAAACTTTCCCCTGCGTATTTCTATAGAATTCAAAGGAAAAATCTTGAAACTTTCTGAGTTTTATAGACAAGAATCATTTGAAGGAAGAAAAGTTGCAGATTAGTCGAGAGAAAATGGGCGACAATCTATTCGAAGGATTACCACCGCCATCTCATCACCAGCAACTAGAAGAAAAAGAAAACGAAGAAGCACAAAAACACGAAGCCAAAAAAAACAATGATCAAAATTCTTTTTCTTTGAAGACAAGTAGTAGCACCAATCACAAGGAAGCTTCTCCAACCCCAGTTCTGAAAAGTGCTCTCAAGAGACCTAAGCCTAGTGAATCTAATCCTGAAGGTAAACCCCACCCATAATTCGATGAATTCTTTTTCTTTTCTGGGTTCATATAATTTTATGTCTTTTGTTTGATTTTGAATTACATTTGCTGCAAGTTTATTTGCTACTATGAAGTGGAAATTGAAATGGGTTTTTAATTTTTGCATGGTAAGAATGTGATTTTAGATGATAATTTTGGGATTTTGCAGCATAATTCAGTTCAAATTTTGGTTTTTTAGCAGGGGTATAATTATTTCCGGGTTAGGGATTATAGGGGCTTGAATTTTGAAAGTAATTTTGTTATTATGCATTAGGTTAATATGTATTGCAATTTGGAAGAAAGTGCTTTGAGAAAGATAATTAAATATAACCTTGGGTTTTGTGAACATGCAATTATCTTAGCATTTTATTCGTTGGTTTATGAGAGACTAGGAGCAAACTGAGATGAAATTTTGAGTTCCTTGTGTTTTGGTGTTCTGAAATTTGAAATGGAAAGCAAGAAGGATGTAAGTCGGCAGATTGATTCGGCTATGTTTAATAACATAAATCAATTCTAATTGTATTGGTTTCAATTTATAGAAGGATGTATATGTATAGTTTTCTGCATATGGTGGTGTATTCCTTTTATTATATGGTCTCTTTTTTCTTCAACTGAATAATAAATAGTGCATGTCTCTAGTCAAGTCTCAACGACTTCCCCCTGAAAGTTATTTTTCTTTTTGGCTAAACTCTCTCCGGAAGTAGCTGATTAGTTATGTATTGTACTTCCCAGCTGCTGTATTAGAAAAACGCTTGAGATTTAAGATGACAACAGACGCCTCAGAGACACAAGTTATTGAGGCAATGCAGAAGATTGCATCACATATCAAGAATCCCACCAAGTTTTCTAAGGCTTCAAAGCTTGCCATACAGTTGGTACAGTCTGGAAGCGTGAAGGCCGGAACTAGTGAACATTTTTTTGCTATATTGGAGGCTGCAATGTCATCAACAGCTTCTTGTACTGATTCTTCAGTGCGAGGCGATTATCATTCGCTGTTCACCGCAGCACAAGATGCAGCTGAAGTATGATTTTTGTTTGTATTACAAATATAAGGATTTCTCACTCGAGCAGATTCTCATTTTTTGTTTCCTTGCAGTGCCTACACAAGAAGCAGAAGAACCAGCTGACTGTTTGGACATTTAGGGCAGTGATGGCGAATGACTTTTTAACTGATGATAGCTTTGTGGTACGAACTTTACTTTTACATTTAGTATGTTTTGTAGTCACGGCACTGTCAGTCACAAATTATTCATTTTTCTGAGTTCATTATCTTCACAAACATGAGACAATTATATGCAGTGATGCTGGTGTCTGGTTTATTTTTTGGCAGAAGTTGGGGATATTGGAACGGTTTAAGTGGTATTGTAGTGTATTTTTATTACTGTAAAATGTAGATCTTGAAAATATCATTGACTTCTGTTGAAGGTTATTTCCTTGACTAAAATGCTGTGACAGTCCTGTTTAAACTGATTCCCATTTCCTACTCATACAAAATTTGTTATTGATTGTGCGTTTATGTGTTGTTTCTGAACTTTGTTACAGTTTTCAAAAACAGCTAGTAAAATAAAAGATGAAATATGTAGCCTTCCATTTGCGACTGAGGAGGATGACATGGATGAAGCTGCTACCCTGAAAGATGAGACAGAAACTGGCAATGATGAGGATGCCAAACAAGCTATAGTTTCTTCAGCCGAAGCAAATAACAAGGATGATTCTGATCCATTTGGGCTCGATGCTCTAATTCCTAGATCTGGGAAAAAAGATGATAGAGCAAAAGGAAAGAAAGATGTGACAACTAAGAGCAGGAAAGATGAGGAAGACACTAAGAGATTTCTTCAGTCAAAGAGAGAAGCCTTGATTTCTTGTTTGGAGATTGCCGCTCGGCGTTATAAAACACCATGGTAAGTGTTCATTGTTTGGTGCTGCTAATTAAAGGATAGGGAACTCTGCTTTTAGATTGTTGCTTATGTTGATTTTATTTAGGAGATTAATTGCTTGTATTCTTCTTAGGTGCCAGACGGTTATAGACATATTGGTAAAGCATGCATTTGACAATGTAGCAAGGTTTACATCTCAACAACGGGATGCCATTGAAAAACTATGGGCTTCTGTTCGGGAGCAGCAAATCCGTAGGAAGCAAGGGAAATCTGTTTCAGGAAAACTTGACATGAATGCTTTTGAATGGCTTCAGCAAAAGTATTCTACTGAGAAAATCAGCATTCGGCATTCTGTTGGAGCCAGTGGGGACCGCCGTTGTCAACAATGTCTTGGTTAAACGCTTCTGCTTTCCTGTTAACTCTTATCCAGAAAACAAATTGAAATCATTGGTCGGTCATCTATTAATCTGAATGTAAAACACGTCGTGTAACATTTTTAAACGAGACAATTCAGGATACTTGGTTACTTCCCAGCATGTTTACTTGATTTGATTTAATTCTTCAAATATAGCTTTACTGGATTCTGTGATGAGTAATTGAGTCTGATGAAACACAATAGGCTTAAGATCCTAGGGATGTGGTTATCCTTTCAAGGGGGGTTGAAAGTAGGGTGTATGGTTTGGAACAGACAAATCTTCGATATTTTTCATTTCATCGTATATGGCAAAACTAATCATCTTCATTATCTAGCTGTTAATATTATTCCAGTGCTGGTCTAAATGGTATTTTGACTGAAGAAGTGTACATGACACATCCATCTGGCTATGAGAAGGGTGATGACAACCTTGTATATAAGTTACATAAGGCGATTTATGGCCTGAAACAAGCTCTTCAGGCATGGTTCGAAATACTAAAGCAATTTTTAGAGGCTGAGCATTTTGTGTTAGCTAAGTCTAATTCCTCATTATTTGTTAGGAAGACTACTAATCATGTAGTATATTTAATGGTTTATGTAAATGATATAATCCTCACTAGTGATAGTGAGAGTGCGATTCACTCAGTTGTTGAGCAACTAAATAAGCAGTTTGAAGGATCTTGGCTACATTTTTTCCCAAGTATTGTGTTGAAGTTTGCTATGAGTCTGGTGGTATTGCGTTGAGTCAATAAAAATATGTGGGAGAATTGTTGCATAAGAATAGGTTTGCAAATGCAAAAGGACTTTCTACTCTTATAGTGGCAAATTGCAAACTCTCTGCAAATGAGAGTTCTCCTCTTGATAATAGTGCACAGTTTAGGAGCACCATTGGTGCGTTACAGTATGTTGTGATCACTCAACCAGAATAGTGTTTGTTGTTAATCGAGTGTGTCAGTTTATACAAGCTCCTCTTGATGTTCATTTTCAGGCTGTGAAGCGGATCCTGCGTTATTTATAGGGTATGATTGATTTTGGTCTGTGTTTTTCAGATTCCTCTCGGCTTGCTTTGACTGGGTTTACTGATGCAAACTGGGGGTTGGATGTTGAGGATCGACGCTCCACTACAAGTTATTGCATCTATTTTTGGAGGGAATCTTGTTTCTAAAAGTTCTCGCAAAGAATAAGTGGTTGGTCGTTCCACAGCAGAAGCGAAATATCGTAGTGTTACTTGTGCAACTGTTGAACTTCTTTGGCTCGAGTCTTTGTTGGAAAAGTTGCATGTTGTCCCTCATGGTCGCCCTACGCTTTGGTGTGATAGCTCGAGTGTTGTGGCGGTGTGTGCTAATCTGGTTCTTCACTCGAATTTCAAGCATGTGGAACTTGATTTGTTTTATGTAGGGGAGATTGTTGCAGTTGACAAATAGCAAGTTCATGAGGTCCTAGCTTGTGAACGGGTTGCAGATGTGATGACGAAGCCTTTGTCCTCATCTTTGTTTTTTATGCATAGACGACAGTTTTTGCTTGTCCAGCTTAAGGATAAGAGTTTTCCGTTTGTCTCTTTTCTATGCAACGAGGTTGTTAAACTTTAAAATGGAGTTTTAAAGGTTCTGTTGTAGGGGGAATGTTGGTGTATAGTCTAGGTGACGTGCATACTTTTCTCCCTTTATGCATGAGTTTGTTAGAAGTTGGTTAAGAGTTTAGGGTTTTGGTTAACTGTCATTTCTTTGGTGCACTAGTCCATTTGATTGAATCTACAGAACCTAATTGAATTATTAATTTTAATAATTATTCTGTAGTCAAAATTTAACATGCACAATGGAATTATTTATATTTAAAAATAACATATTTAAAAATGACACTTCTTTATTTATTTATTTAATAATTTTTCCTTCACCGAAATGACTTTATGTGAAGAATCATCATCTTATGTACAGTAGTCTTCGACGGCTTGACATTTTCGACTTTCTTTGCATTTGTTTCTTCAAACACATTCTAGTGTAGATCAAATGTTGTATAAATTATATGTTTATTAGAATTATTTGTTCCTTAATCTCAATATTGTTTGTGGAATTATTTTTTACTGATATTGTATTATATATTAATCCTAACAATATTTATGGGATTATTCTTTTCCATTAACGGTTTTTCTAGTATTGTTTCCTTTTAAATTAAGATGGGTCTATAGCGTACGTTACATACCATTAAAGCGACACACAGAAATACATCACTAATTGTATTGTTCTTTTAAGTAAATATTAAAAGGGTAAATTATAAGTTTAATACTTACACTATCTTTTTTATTTCGTTTTATTACCTAAATTTTATCTTTTTTTTCAAAATCATTAACGAAAATACTGATGTGGCATTACATGTCAATTTTTTTTATTTATTTAATTTCCACATTATCTTTCTATTTCTCCGTTGATATTTTAATTAATTTTATTCAATCAATTAAATGGCGACACATGTCACCAACTATGAGATAATTTATATTAAATTATTCTAAAAAGTATATTTATAATATTATAAATTTTAAAATATTTATTTAATTTTAAAATCATATTATTTACTCATTTGAAATAATATTAATTATTTATTTGAAATAATATAATTTTTAAAATATATATTTAATGTTTAATAATATTATACGAAATCAAAGGGATAGTTTTAAATTATTTAAAATTAAATATATAATTTAAAAATAATATAATTTCAAACAAATAATTAAAATTATTTTAAAAACTAAGTAAATATTTTTATAATATTATAAATATACTTTTTATAATGATTTCATATAACTTTTATAAATATATATAAATTATTTAATTATTTTTTTCTAAATAAAGTGAAAATAGTCTTTTAATTTAATAATAATATAAAAAAGTATTAAGTTCATTATAATAAAAATATTATATTATAGTTGAGTGGCTAAGCTTTCAGTCATTAATTTAAAGTGTCTCATATTTGAATCTTATAATGATTGAAAAATATTAAATTCATGGTGATATTGTTATATAAGTTAAATACAAAATGTGATGAAATTTACCCAAATGACTAGCTTACTTTAATGGTTGAGTGATTTGTTTCTCATGTAAATGACCCAAGTTTAATTCATACTAGGTGTAACGCTCTAATTCGATCTGACATAAAGATCGAAGGACTATAACACTACACAGGACCACCAAAATGGCTAACCCAAAAATTTTCTTTTAAAACAATACTCAACATGATTAAATCGAAAATCCATAATATAAAAACGAGTTTAAACATTTAAATACAATGTTTACAAAAATATGAGCACCATCGGTAAATCCAAAATACATAAGTTTGATAAATAAAGTTATAACTCAAATACAAATAAGGTCTCTGTGAAATACATGCAAACTAATATGTATCTAAGACATACTATGATAGAAAGATCCAAGCTGAAAGTCATGAGCTGGTGATAGCTCCTCGACCCATTCTCCTAAGAACATGTGGATGGAAACATATTTCGAATGTTGAGCTCACAAGCTCAATACCACATAAATAACCCTAACATAATATATGCATTCATTACATGAGTTTACGAATAAGTATAAATATGAATATGCAAGTACATTTACACATAGTCAAAGTTAGGCATCGTGGTGTAATCGGAGGGTCACTTAGTATCCCGAGACTCACACCCCTCGATAGTACCTAAGTTACCCTAGATAATACTCGAATCACTTAGCATTGGAATCTTCATTTAGAAAGGCCCTCATTACCTAGTACTTAGGATGCCTTCGGGGTCACATAGCACTAGAGCCTACGTCCAACTAGTCTACTCCTAAAAGTACTTGGAATGCCTCTGGGTCACATTGTAACACCCCAACCCGTATCCGACCCGGATCCGAGTCCGAAGTGTCACATTGACTTTTCAAAAACCTTTACTTGTATAAAATAGTGAGTAATTTAAAATTTATTATTACATATAACTTATTCAAAACCTTTATCGAACTATTCAGAGCTTATACAATATATTATCTTGAATACATGCCAACTAGAAATTTATGTATTAAAATACATATTATTCACCTTTCTTCTGATCTGACCTTTGGTAAGAATAACTGACCTGTCTTGCTCCACATTGCTCTTTACTCTTCTCACTTTGGTAACCTACGTGTGAAACAATCACACGCTAAGTCGATGACTTAGTGAAGCAATAAACATAAAATATAAACTATATCTTGTAATCATGTATGAACCATTACTACTATCACTCATACCCTTATTCATGTAACAAATCCCATATGCAATATATATATCATTACATATACACACATATATTCCTCACTCATCATTTTTATCATTAGCCTTATTTCACTATCCATATTACTATCATTTATATGTGTTGATCATATCCTCTTGAACTTAACCTTGTTAACCAACATATGCTTCGTGTAACCAAACAATACACATATCATCATATGACTCGTGCAATACACATATCAACATATATCACAAAAGCATATTTTTCACATGTAATATATTTATTGTTATATCTTTGTCTAGCCCATGTACATTTCTGAGAACTATAGATATGAGAGTTTACAGAGGTTGTGCACTAATGATGTCACCACAGCTCGTATAAATGCACCGAAGTGCCACGTAGAATTGCACCGTAGTGCCGCGTAGAAATGCACCGAAGTTCCATATAAGGTTGTCCCTAAGGACCACATATCATTCCTTAAGAATTATATACATATGCCAAGGATCAAGTATGTGTCTCAAAAGACCTCACACATGTTCCGAAGAATACATATATATCCCGAAGGACCGCGTAGACCCTCGACTCTTGGCATGCCAACTATACCTCTAGCTCTCATGACACATAACATGGGCATTAATCTTTATGTTATCACACATTCACATATACACATAGTCTTTTTATTACATTTTTATAAGATCACACATAGTCAAGTAGTTCATTTCCATATAAATCACACATACACGTAGATCACTTGCACGTAGAACATCTTTATATAATCATATGATTCACTTTAACTTATCACATATACTTTTTCTTTCATATATCTCATGGCATTTATCACATGGCTCTTTATTTCATTCTCATATGATCACATAATCATGTAGTTCCCTTCTCCTATCACTTTGCATGGTTTTACATAAACATATATCATACCTTATTCATATATATATATATATCCGCAAATACATGTAAGCCCATATT